CTGAATTTGGAGGCTTGGTTGATGCATTCTTGGAGGAACATCAAGGTGCTTCAGGGTTAGTGTCATTGGCCAGGTTGCTTTTCTTACTTAGTGTCTGGGTAGACAGGGAGGCAGCTGGTAGTTGCTGTGTAACTCTGGATTCTCTGATTATGTGGAAAAAGTAACTATTCCGGAAAATGTCCTGTCTTAGTAGGATTGTTAATATCACAGACAGACAAATTCCTATATGGATATATTTATATTCTGCCAGCCAAAGGTTACCTTAGAAACTAAGGAGTAAAGCAAAATGATTAATTTCCTATAGGAGAAAATTAAACTGAAAACACAGAGATTTACCTCTGCATAACAGCACCTAACCTTGGAGAAATTTTCACTGTGTAAACCACATTTTATTTCACATTGCCTGAAGATAACAAAATGTAATGAAAGCTGCTCCCTGAAAGTCTGTAGGAGAGACAAATGAAAACGGCCATTTTTAAAGGTGGCAAGGGACTGCCTTACCTTTTCATTTGTTGGTTTTAATTGCTATCCTGAACATGAGCCATCAAAGGAACCCATGCCATGAACCGAAGCCACATTGTTCCTCTGTGGGTATTTTCTTTCTTTGTTTGATGGTATAACCAAAGTCCTTGTCCAACTCCTGTGGTCAGTCCATCTGTCTGGATGTTACTGATGTTGTGGCTGCATGTTTTACTGGTTTCAGGCAGTCTTTTAGCTTGTGAGTTTATGCAAATTGCTTTGCTGAAAAAATAATTTCAAACCTGGAACCTGCATTTCAATGTGAGTGGACATGAAGCAAAATGCAAAATGATTTTCAAGAGCGAGCTGTTCCTAGTGTTACTTTGCTTTGCTGAGGATTACAGAAGAGCATGTGCTTTCCCTCTCCTCTGCACAGTGGCAAGTATGAAGGTACAGAGCCACGGTGAAGGACTGTCCAGTGCAATAGCCATCCCAGGTTATCACTCCTACTTTCTCTGTTTGGGACAACCCTGTGGCCAGCCTGGTTATAGAAGCTCTGGTTGGAAACCAGGCTTCAAGACTTGAAGTGACTAGGATAGGTCCTCAGACTTCTGTGCCTCTACTTTCCACTCATTTTCAACAAGTATACGCTGGCTGGGCTTTATCCATTAACAGTGGTTAATACCTCACTGATGCAGCATGTCTAGAGCCTGGGTTGAAAAGCAAAGTGCAAAGCAGCTCCTAAGAACTTTGTCCTCTGAAGGTCCCACTGGAAACAGCTCTCAGTGTGACCATCAACCTGACCAAGCGGAAGGTGTCCCTGCCCATGGCAGGGGGGTTGGAACCAGGTGATCTTTAAGTTGCCTTCCAACCTAAACCATTCTATTAAACAATGATGTTACTATTGCCTGTATCTGAACAGGAGCTTCCTGAGCTGCCCTGTGATGACTTCCTCAGCTTCTATCACTAAGCAACCAGGCTGGTTGCATTTCAATGGGTAACTTGCCTCTGCTAGGACATCTACCCTACTCACTCTCTTAAACAATGAATGGAAATGGTGCTCAAGCAAACTGAACAGCTAATGAGGTCCACAAGAAATAGTTAAGGTGGAGTCTCCCCAAGTAAGGCCAAGGTCATGCCGAAGAGGCAATATGGCATGCTGAAGTGACACCTGATTCTCTGAGTGAACTCACTGCACCCACTGCGGGCTGCATTTGTAACATCAACAATGTCCATCTCCTAGATGGCGTTCTTCTAATGGACAGCCTAGGCCACCCATGACTAAAGTGCTTGTGTGACCATAGCAACTAAATTAATTCCTTAAAATAGGGATCTGGGATAGATTCCCCAGCATCTCTCCTATCAAGGGAGGTGGGTCTGTTAGTGACAAACAGGTGAGTTGAATCTCAAGTCACTGATTTCTGAATCTGCCTTAATTTCCCTTATATATCACTTAAATATCAGGTGGTCAGGAGACCACAGGCATATAGTTTTTTTCTCCAGAGAGGCCTAGAGCTGCTGTAAGCTGAGCAGCCCATGACCACAAGCTTTCCACCAGCCTGAGGCATGTTGATGTCACTTGAAGGGTGGGTGGAAAGTGTAGAGGAAAGTAACTTACAGGAAAGTAAGTGCAATAAGGCTTCATTACACTGTTATGGGACAGAGGAGGTTCTAGGAGATAATGGAAATATTGTGGGAAGAAAAAGGAAATGTGTACAGAGAGAAACATCTTTAATTTGATTACAATAAAAAATTTATTTTGATCCATTGCATACTGGAAAATTAAATAAATTAAATGTTAATGGATGATTGAGTGAGACTCCCCACCCTCAGAGAAAAACCAAAAACAAACCCAAAAAACCCCACCACATAATTGATCATGTAGTCAAAGGAAAATAGGAAGAAAATCTGGTCATAGGAGAAAAAAAGTGCTCAAGAGATTTGGCTTTGGTAAAAAACATTACACACACTCAAGGAGTGTTTCAGAGACTTTGCAGTGGTGGCAAATATAGTCCAAGAGTTTGAAGCCTTGATATGTTGCTAAATGTTTTTCTTTGTTGTTCTTTTAAACAAAATAAACCCAGAAAGTTTCTAGAAGGAACAGACAGTCTTCAATATTGGCAGTGGGAATTAATTCTTCCCTCCATATCATCTGTTGGTATCTCCCTATTCTGAAGGCATTTGAAAGAGCAGCAAAATTGTATAGAAACTCAAAGATCTAATACAGGAGCTGCCTAAAGGACTCTAGAAAATGTTCCTCTGGAACAGAAATGTGATGGCACAGATTATCCGTCATCCTACAGCTAGAAAAGTCCACTCGATTCCTGTCGCACTGTGAAAAATGGACATCAGGGGTACACAGTTACTGCTTGCTGTCAGCAAGAAAGTTAACTGGGAATTGCAGCTTGTTCCATGATGAAGACACTAAATCTATCACAATAGTATGAGCCGTGATGTTTGATATGTGCTGTCAAAGGCAGAATATTCAGGGGAAAATTGGAAATATAATTTGGGCAGCAAAAGGAAGGTTTTGGAACAACACAGGCTAGGAAAATAGATGATTTGTTTTTACCACTTTCTTTGATACCAAACTGTCACTTGTGATTAAAAAAACATCAATGGGATTTGGGTACCAAATCACCGTGAGTTTTCTTCCAAGTCTTTCTAAAAATGACTGAAACAACAATGAAATGTTTCTGAATGACTGACATCTGTCCACAAGAGGAAAAAAAAAAAAAAAAGGATTTGAAGCTCACAACGAAAAAGTATCTCCAAAATCCAGCTACAGGGTGAAGATGCCAGCGGGGTATTCCATGCAGTCTTTTGCCTCTTGAAGTTGCTTTACTTGTATTCCTGTGACATCTCACTAGAAGCATATTGATTACAACAATTTAAAGTGTGGGAATGCTTAAAACAAACAAATACGGTTCAGGTGGAAATGTTGGTCTTTTACAAAAGACATGTAGAGGACGGTAATAAGCCCACTAAATTTGCTGTGCCTGTGACATGCACAGGTGGGTAGTTCTGCTGGCCACCATGCTGGGAAAGGGCTTCTTGACATGAAGATCATGCAAAGGTCTCAGCATGAGGATTTGAACATCCTGCCCTTTTCGTATTGCTGAACTGAAGGGTCAGGTGTACAGCGAAGTGAGGTCAGTTCACTGCACAGATATTTGGCATCCTCAGCTCTTTATACACTGCGAGTCCAGGAATACTCATGTGAGTGAAACGATTCATTTTGGCGAGTGATGCTGTGGCCCAAAACAGGGATATTCCAGCTGACCAGGTCATTGTGCCGTGAACTGATGCCTTGGAGGGGAGCTCACTGTAAACAACTGGCATGGAAAGACGAGGGGATAAGACGTGGACTGAAGCACATCGCTGGTCAAAGGGCTAGGCTTTCACTGAGATCACATACTCATCCACCTGGACATGCTGCCATAACTGGTGCATGAAAGACAAGTCATTTAGATGATAATTGCCACAAACCCCAACCATCATAATCCATTAAAAATTAAATATGCCATTCTTTCCAAGCCTGATCTAAAGTCTCTTGAAGTCTGTGGCAAGAACTCCATTAGCTTCACCAGCGCTGAGAATGGGTCAATAATCCATGAATCTTATTTTCATGATATCAAGAAGCAAAACCCACTGTTCTCCATTCTTCACTACATGAACTTTGTTCTTGGATTCATACTTTATCTGTCCTTGAGGACTGAACGCATTGATTCTAGCAAAGATTTGTGGATATAAAATCTCCACTGTCACTTCCTTCCTCTCACTGCCTAGAGGTACTGACATTAATACACTCATTCCTCCAGAGATGCACGTAATTTTGAAGTCTGGCTTACACTGTAGGATCAGCTTGTGTAGATTGTGTTCTTGTAGATGCTGCTATAGGGCCAAAGTTTCCTAGTGTATTATTAACTGTTATCCCAACCCGTGATGTTTCTTCCATTTCAAATAGAGACCTTCTAAAGAGATACCACTTTCTAAATTTGTAAAAAAATACGAGGAAAAGTTTCCTTGGAACTTTTGGATATTTTCACATAAAAAAGGTAAAAGCTACCTTTAAAAATTAGTCTTGTTTGCGTTTCCTCAAATACAATATAGGAACTGTTATTATTGTTTTTGACTACAAAAGTATACCACACGGAGGCTAAACTTTGGTTAATTTTTCCTCCTTTTATAAAAAAGTTTAAATTAGTATTTGTCATCATTTAAAAAAAATCACATCCGTTGCACAGTTATAAAAGGCACATATAAACGACTGAAAGAAAAAAGTCCACTTTCCAATCTTAAACTGATTAAATAAAAATGAGCATTCCAGAGTATTTTCCACCAAAAAAAAATAATACATATATAACCAAACAAGACAAACAAACAAGTGGCTAAAAAGGCCATTTTTTGCTGCAGTTTTCAGTATTGTTTTCTCCTCGCTCATTATGGCTGTATGGGAACCAGTATTAAATAATATATGATCAGAGATGATTTGATTTGTATTTTCTAGACACTGTCAATGCAGAATGAGGCAATAGCTGAAATATTTACTATTCCAGGCAACTTCATCACGTTTTTGCTTAATAAAGCATGAAACAAGAAGTAATAGAGGAAACAGAAGAGAGAGTTGAAAAAGAAGATCAACAGCAGAAGTGAATTCATATCTTTGAGGTAATCCTTACTATGATGTTCACAGCTGCCCTAGTGTGTCTCAAGTCCCAGAAGCTCTTTTCACCCTTCTTCAAGGATGTCCTGCCTTACTCGGGGAAAGAACGGACACACAAAGCAGTTCCTGTGCCCAGGTTTCCCCTAACTGCAACAAGCAGATCTTTCACCAGTAATTCAGAAAACAAGCTGTAGAGCCTAAGCAGAGATTCATTTATTCCCACAACTGATTGGTAGTCCCCAGCTATCTGTAGACAGTAAGTCACGCGCAGCGTGGAAGCCGGTCCTCGGCAGAGCTCCCTGCGGGAAGCATGGCAGCAGTGAGGCGCTCCGAATCCACCGCAGATTCACCCATTCAAACCTGGCCGCCGCCCAGATCATCTTCACCGAGCTTTGTTCTGCTGCGTGTCGGAAATTGCAGCCCCCACTTTTCCCCGTGGCCAGGGTCATCTGCCCTTGAAAAAATTTATTTTTTCCATGGAGGCTAGAGTCAAAGTTACATTGAACTCAAAATCCCCGTCATGGACACCTGTCTTCCGGAAAGCTCCAGCTGAAGCATTGTTTTCCCAGTAGTGATGCCAGTGTCCTTTGCTGTTTGCTCCAAAACCATACACATTCACCTAGGAAGTAAGAGAGAACTAGTGTTATGAGCTTGAAAGCTCTGAAATATTGAAGACACTCTTTAGATTCCCAGTTTCTCTTTAGGCAGCAGCACCTGAGGTCCTTGGTGGTGTACCAAGCTATTCTACTGCATAAAGATGATGCAATCACAGACTAGCAGTCCAAGCCCTGCTCAAGGGACATTACATCCTAAGCTATGCGGAGACCACCACCATACCTGAACACAGACAGAAAAGGAAAATTCTACCCATGAATTCTTCTTCAGCAGTACGAAAAACACATTCTTGTTCCCTAAGCATGATGTTTGACCTCAGGAGGTCAGTGACTTGGGTTGGGAATCTCCTCTTTAACTGATTAAGGCCCAAAAGCATGGAAGATATCAGTTTTCCTCCTAGTCTTCCAACTGATGACCCATGCCGACCCTCCCTTACACAATTATATGACATCTGCAGTCCCTTCAGGGGCAGAGGGACATCATGTTCTTTGTGTGTGTATAGGCCTATGGCCTTTCCTCTCCCAGCAGCTCACTCATCAATGACTACGCCCGTCTCCTCTGGTGGTAAAGTCCAAACATGACAGTTGACTTTTACTGAAACTGAACGTGGCTATATGACTGGGTTGGAAAGGGTCACAGTCCACAAAACAAGCACCCTAATGCACTCACACCCGGACCCACCCAAATATGAGTTGGTTTGAAGTTATTTTTGGAAACGTCAGAGCGCTGCTCATTGCTTGCTTACTAGAAAAAGGCTCCACCCATGCTGCCCATCCTATCTGCCTTGACTATGGTACAGTTTCTGTCAGCATCATTAGGAGCATTTCCTTTGCCTCTCCAAGCAACACAGGCCTAGGTGACAAAAGCTCTTTTTCATGAGTGGATCTGTGTCCAGGCCAGGAATTTTGCCAGCACAGTGATTTTCATCCCCAAGCTTACAAGCTCATGCTTACAGGATTTTGCAGAGCTGACCTGGCCTTACACTAACTATCTAAGTTTCTAATCACCTAGAAACACCTCACTTTACTCAAGCCAGGGAATTCCTTCAAGTAACTGCTGGAGCAGGGCATTTACCATAACCTACTGTATAAACCCACAAGCTTGGATTTGAAAATAGACCATCTGCATTCCCCAAATCGGCTTATGTAAGACCTGATCATCAAAGTTCTTCAGGTAGGATTATGTTTAAGATGCAGATACCAAATAGAGGTGTCTGAGCATCCATTACTGTCAGTGTTGATTCAGGTAGCACAGTCACTGGAAACCAGAGACCAATCCTGCTCCCTTAATGTCTTAGCAGATGGTTGGTTTGCTGATCAGACCCTTGTCTCCACTGATGAGATGGAAAAGACCTCAGTGCAGTTGCCCAAATGTAAGTGCCATTTGAGATGCCCTTAGGTAGTCAGTACATTTACTCATGACAGGCAGATGTCACACAAGGCTGAGAGACTTGTACTTTTTTGACCTGGCAGCTAGCAGCAGAAAACATGCTCAGGGCAATTTGAGCTTCCACTAACTAAATGGGCATGGACAACATCCATATTTAGATGTCTTTTCATACCATGTGGAATCCCAGTATTTATGTTTAATTATATTCCCCTGGAATGCATTTAAACCCTACTACTTGCTGACATGAAAAAAATCAGTCTCTGTCATTTGAGCATATATGCCTGTTACTGAGGACTCTGCTTCTCTTTGAAGAAGCAAATAGCAGGGAAGATAGAGAGGGTTGAGTGAGTGGCCAGGGCATATTCCTGCCACTTCAGTGTGAAATGTCCTGATTTTTCATCCATGTATCCAAACACAGACAGACCTCATCGCATACGTGGAGTGCAAATATCAAAGACAGAATGCCTGTGGAGGGGTATCTCCCATGATGCTGGAGCCAGTTTTCATAGACGTATTTCATAAAAGCTGGATTATAAACCAGGATCTAGGCAAAATTAGAGAAATAGTCATTAGTAAAATGCCCTGGAAAAAAAAAAACAATTAATCCTGAAAGGACACTGGGGTAGGTGAGTGGGGGAGAAAGGAATACTAGTTATTCCCTGAGGGCAGGTGAAAGGCAAAAAGAAAGTCCTGTGGTTAAGTGCATTCAGGAATATTTGCCACATGCAAGTACACATGAATATTTCTTCCTTGGTCTTGATACCCCATCTCCTTACACTGTTGTCAATCCTGGGTGATTCCTACTGAAACCAACGGGTATGAAGTGACACAAGTGAGAAGAAAACTAGGCATTCATGTCTCCCTGCAGCATCCTACTGTAATGCAGGTGAGCTCTGGGGAGTTGAAGGCCTGAGCAGGGCAAGTGTAAGATGCCATGCCAGATTTCACAGAATCATAGACTCACAGAATCATTTAGGTTGGAAAAAACCCTTAAGATCATTGAATCCAACATAATTTGTCTAGGAACGGAGGCGCAAGTGCATCTTCTGCACAATATACCAACCATGTCTCTCTATAGTACAGATCTAAGGAAACCATAAGTCAGGTGTAACCTATCAGGAAGCCTATCAGGCTGTGTCATCTGCATTTCTCCTGTTTCCCAAACATGCTATTTTTCTATGCCTCTTACTCCACTGGTTTATTTCCTGGGGAAATTATGAGGCCATGTGAGCATTTAAGATCAGACTTGAGTGTACATTAAATCCAAGGACTGGTGGGAGCTCTTGGTTTCAACCCCCTTCCCTGAATCCGGCAAAGAGAGGCTTTTCCCTCCATGCTGTGTTTGTAATTAGAGTGTAGCATTTCAGCGCTATATGGTTAGCTGCAAGGCTTTTCCTTTTACAAAGTCAGAGGTTAATTGCTGATATTGTATCTGTGTGTAATCGCTTCCCATAGTGTGTTTTGCATTGCGTGGTGTGGGAAGAAATAGAAGCTTTTCATCTTCTTGCTTGGGAAGCTGCTTCATATCACCAGCTGTACCTTGGGCTGGTGCTACTCACCTGTGATGTGAGTTTAACACCCTGCTGAAATGCATCTCACATGGGTTTCACAGAGGTTAATGTCTTCCTCACAACAGGTAGGGATGAGCTAAATCATTATTTAATACCCCCAGAGGTCCACGGTTGGAAGCACAGGAATATAAACTGATACTGGTTAAAGGTCTCATCTTAAGCCTTTGGCAAAACCTGGCCTCCTGAATGAAGGACATGTGCTTTCATCTGTGATTTTAATGCTCTGGGGCTAAAATTATACCTTACCATCCCTTGAGACATTAGGAGTCTGAGCTCCTCTGAAAATCAGCCTCTCCAAATGCTGAGAGAATGAGACTTTTATTTTGCTGTAAGGTCTGTGGAAAAAAACCCATCTTTTACCTCTCCCTACACAGGCTGTTTTGGTTATATGGCCTCAAACCATGCAGCTACAGCAACAAAAGTCTTTGCACTGTGGCTAAAGGTCCAACATATGAATGACCACCCTGCCCCATGGGAAACCCTGCCTCCAGCAGTAGGGCATGCCTATTAAACCACAACATATTTGGGCAATGAGTAAGTATGTATGGGAGGGGCTCTTCTGACTGCTGTAGGGTGGGCACTAGGTCTGTCCCATCTTTCTTTGACCTTCTCAGAGAAGTGAGCGAGGTGCCCTGACCGATTGCCTTCTACACATCCACACTATGAAATAAAATGGGTCAGAGGTGTCTTGAGGAAAGTGCCATGGCAGAGATCATGTCCACATTGCTCAATTCTGTCCCTGTGCAAAACAGGGAATACTCCCTGGCCTGTGCTATGCACCAAACCTTACTTGAACACTGCCTGGGAGAGTATTAATACACTTGGGGGAAAACCAGCATGGACTTGGCCGGAGCCCAGTCCCCAGGCTTGTTGAACTGGGTACAGGCAGTTATTATAGCTGTGGGCTAAGAGCCTTCCCCAAGAGCCATTCATACCATCTTGAATTCTTCACTGACTTGAAAACACACAGCTTTATTTGTTCAGTTAACTCAGCTCTTTATTACAAGGAACTGACCCAGGAGTGAGAAACATCCTTGGTATGTAAACAGACAAATTATTTTTTAAAAACTCCAAACATTCTCCACATCTCAAAGTGCCATTACATCCAAATGACTGCAATGGGTGGGAATAGAGCAACTGCTGTGGAGGGTGAGCACAGTTAGGCAATGGTACACCTTAAATCTCTCCGAGCAGTACCAGAGGAAGCAAGACAACCTTCAGAACAGCAGTAATGTGATGGCATAGTCAGAAAAGCAATTTCTTTCCAACCTCAGCTATTTAGTGGTTGATCTATGGTCTGAATGGCACACAGGAGCTTTTAGCTGAGCCCTGTAAAGTGTATGTATTCTGGTTTTATGAATGTCAAGGAGTTCTTTGGATTCTTGCAGTCTCCCAGAGAGGTAAAAGACCTACAAGTAGATTTACAGAACAAATTCACAAATCAGCATTGCTCACCTTTTCTCTTTTGACTTTGATTTTCCGTGGAACTGGAACATATGTGCTGTTAGAAGAAAAAAAATCACCATCAAGATTACTAAAAGCCAAATATATTAATATTTTCCCATATTTCCAAAGAAAAAAAGAATATTCTTCATGTACAGGAATAAATTCAAATTATTTGAGAGCAATAAATTCAATGAATTGCTGGAAAACAAGGTTGTAATTAAGTAATAGAAAACTGAGGTGTCACTGAAACAAGTTTTTAGGAAGCCATTACTTTTTTAAATTTTCAAAGTAATTAATGAGAATAGAACATAAAAAATTTAATTGATAATATATTGTAAAGTCAATATTGTGTGGAGCCCATGACTTGTGATTCTTGACCCATGACTGTTGCAGTTCTGCACTTTGATGACGGGAAAGGCTTTCTGATTAATTTCATGGCAGAAAAACATTTTCCCACCAGGGGGAGACTTTTCCCCTCCTAATACTTGTAGCTGCTGCATGATTTTCGAGAGAGTTCATCAGTATGTAGAGTTCATAATTTCTGTGGTTAGGTGAAACTCTGGCATTCCCAGTACACAGCCCCTCACCTGCAAGCTATTCCCCTTCTCCCCAGAGGGATGCTGAAGGCTTCCTGCGGTTCCCATCATAAAACTTCCAAGTTATACCATATGATTGGGTTGAAATCAGTAGTTGTGTCTTGAAAACAAAAAAATCTTTTCTTCCCCATATCTCATGCACAGTGCATGCTGGCATTGCACAGCTCATCATGAGTGCTGTAGAAAAAATATCTCCCGGAGTTTGCTTCAAGTGAGAAAATTCTGAACTGGCCTTGTAACTAGACTATATCCCAGAACATACTCCGCATACTTTTTAGACGGGTTGTGATAAGCCACCGAAACCTTCCATTAGTTCAATCTAAATGTTTTTGTTTTGGTAACAACAAGGTTCCTGTCATTAATGTTTTATTTCTTTTTGAACCACAGATCATTAGCACTTTGAAACATCATTTTAAGTCATCCCGAACCAGTGGTGACCTGGCAATGTCCTCGGCTCCTTAGGTACTTCTGTATACTCCTCACCTTAGATCCCTGCCCAAGGCTGGATGCAATGGAAAATGTGACGGGTGGATTCCAGCCCCCTGAGATGTGACACGACATGCTAACGGGGAAAGGGACACCCATGCAGACTTCTTAATCTGCCCTCAGCAAATCTGCCCTTGCATCTGCCTCCCATGTCTGATCATGGTTAGCAAAGTCAGTAAAAGTAGGCTTGGTGATTCCATGGCTTTTTGTGGTTATGAAAACATAAAGGGCTTCTTTAAAGGTAATATCTCATTATTACTATAAAACCAAACAGCTGTCTTTTCTTAAAAAGTGACATGGAGGACATATTTGCAGAGAGCTCTAATCCAACCAGGACACTACTGTAGCTCCTGTCAGATGACATTAGCCATTTTAATCATGGGATATTTTGTTTTTTTCAGAAGCAATACCTAAGTCCTACTGTCACTTGGCTGCAGAATTTCATGCAACTGCCTGGAAAGTATTGGCACCCTGGTTAAGACCAAATGGAGACCTTTGCCATTATGATCATGTAAAAACTGGGCTGCACAGTAACCAGGGAGCTAGGGACCCACTACAGAATCATAGAATCATAGAATGGTTTGGGTTGGAAGGGACCTTAAAGACCATCTAGTTCCAAACCCCCTGCCATGGACAGGGACACCTTACACCAGACA